TATGCTCGTGCCGTTCTCTGCTCCCCCGCTTCCAGGCGGAGGCCCCCGGCGGCGGCTCTGGCGGTCTGCCCTCCCGAGCTGCCCGCGCTCGTCGGGGGGGGGATCCTGGCTCCTTGCGTCCTGGCCCTGGGCTGAAGTCGGCGTCCTCCTCCTCTTCCTCCTCCTCCTCCTCCTCCTCCTCCTCATCCTCCTCCTCCTCCCCCTCCTCCTCCCCCTCCCCCCTACAAGCGGATTTTGGATGAAGAACAACACATAATGAAACATATCTTAATGATAAAGAAGAAGTGCTGGACACATCGTGTCATACTATTTTTGGACTACCTTTGACTACGGTGGGGACATCCGTTAAGGAATGGGCCCAGGAGGCTGCAGACCCTGGGGGATTCCTTATCTGATGCGGGCGGCAGTCTTATCCATGGCCGATCCACGATCGGAGTTTCACTGGCATCCAGACCCTGGATTTCTTATTCCAGGGATCCTTATCCAATGCCCTCACCGTATTCCTCCTGTAGAGGGACAGGCCGACAGAAGCCTGGGTTTGCCACCGCAGAGGTTGGTCACATGGGATGCGATGTGTCGTGCCTCAGGCCTGCCTTTTAAGGAGGCCGGTGGCACTTTCCAGCGGAGCAAGCTGGCAGGTCCCGCACTGCCGGCCAGATGCCCTCAGCGGTGGGCCCAGACGAGGTCAACAAAACGCCTCTCCCGCCTTCTCTCGCTCGTTCCTCCCCAGCGGCCATCGGAGGACGTGCTCCGCGACGCCATCCCCTGCGCGCGCGAGCTGGGCGGGGGCGGCCAGCGCTCCGCCGGCGTGGCGCCCCCTGGGCTGGTGTCGCCGGACCGCGGGGGGGGGCTGCCTCGGCTACGCGTGAGAGTGACCGTGGCATCGCTCGGACGTGTGCATTTTTTCTCGGCAAGGACCATCGAGGAGCATTTGAGGTTGCCGTGCGAAGAATACACGCTCGAATACTGAGTAATGTACGGGGAGTGCACGTCCGAGCGATGGCGAGCGACACAGTGACCCTTTGTGGCGATGCCGAGCTACGCGTAAAAATAAAGCAGTGGCGCAGCGTCCTGGCTCGCCCATATGCCCACTGCAACATGTTCTAAGAACCCTTAGTGTCTAAGAACCCTTAGTGGTCTGCACGAACTGTCATTTGAGCATGTCTGGCTGATCTCGTGTTGTTTTAACACATCGGGTTTTTGCTCCAAGAGCAATTGTTGTTGCTGTTGTTGTTGGTGTTGTGTGTGTTGTTGTTGTTGTTGTTGTTGTTGTTGTTGTTGTTGTTGTTGTTGTTGTTGTTGGTGTTGGTGTTGTTGTTGTTGTTGTTGTTGTTGTTGTTGTTGTTGTTGTTGTTGTTGTTGTTGTTGTTGTTGTTGTTGTTGTTGTTGTTGTTGTTGTTGTTGTTGTTGTTGTTCGCGAGGACACTACTGGAGGCCCGTTGCTCGACCCCCCCCCCCCGAGCAACACCACGGGGCCACGCACGGGCCCTGCAGGGCCCCTGGTCCGAGCAACGCCACGAGGCCTCGCCAGGCCGCTGCGGGGGTCTGCAGGGCCCGGCGGCGTTGCTCGGCAGGTCCTTTCGGGACTGCTGCGGAGCCCCATACAGGCCCCAAAGGGCGCACCCCTCTCACGGATCGTGGCCCTGGCCCCACAGGGAGCTCCACCGAGGTTTGATTTGGGCACACCCCTCTCGAGGATCGTGGCTCAGTGAGCTCCACCGAAGCTTGGTTTCGGCGCACCCCTCTCACGGATCGTGGCCCTGGCCCCACAGGGGGCTCCACCGAGGCTCCATTTCGGCACACCCCTCTCGAGGATCGTGGCCCTGGCCCCACAGGGAGCTCCACCGAAGTTTGATTTCGGCGCGCCCCTTTCACGGATCGTGGCCCTGGCCCCACAGGGAGCTCCACCGAGGCTCCATTTCGGCACACCCCTCTCGAGGATCGTGGCCCTGGCTCCACAGAGAGCTCCTCAGAGGCTTCATTATGGCACACCCCTCTCGAGGATCATTTTGGCACACCCCTCTGCAGGGTCCTGCACGATTCCATCGAAACCGTAGAGGGAGCCTCTAGGATCCTTACAGGGTCCTGCACGGTTCCATCGGAATCCTATAGGGATCCTACCGGATCCTTACAGGGTCCTGCACGACTCCATCGGAGTCCTATAAGGAGGAACCTATAGGATCCTTACAGGGTCCTGCACGATTCCGTCGGAGTCCTATAAGGAGGAACCTATAGGATCCTTACAGGGTCCTGCACGATTCCATAGGAACACCCTATAGGGATCCCATAGGATCCTTACAGAGTCCTGCACGATTCCATCGGAACCCTAGAGGGATCCTATAGGATCCTTTCAGGGTCCTGCGCGATTCCACAGGAAGCCTCGAGGGATCTCATTGGATCCTTACAGGGTCCTGCGCGATTCCACAGGAACCCTAGAGGGATCCTATAGGATCCTTACAGGGTCCAACAGGTTTCCATAGGAACCCTAGAGGGATCGTATAGGATCCTTACAGGGCCCTGCACGATTCCATAGGAACCCTATAGGGATCCTATAGGATCCTTACAGGGTCCTGCACGATCCCATAGGAACCCCATAGGGATCCCATAGGGTCCGTACAGAGTCCGTATAGGGTCCGTACAGGGTCCTGCATAGATTCGGAAACACATATAGATTTACGTTAGCGTATGACAGAGGTGTTGCGCGTTGCTCCCCCCCCCCCGGGGCAACAACTGCAACGTGTGGCCTGGGGCAGTGCGCTCGCCCCGGGGGCGAGGACACACCCACGGGCCCCGCCGGGGTGGCCTGAGAGAGTGTCCTTGCGTTGTTGTTGCCGTTGTTGATGTTATGGTTGTTGCTGCTGTTGTTGCTGCTGTTGTTGTTGCTGTTCTTGCTTTGGTTGTTTGTTTTTGTTGGTGTACGAATATTATGTTGTTCCCATAACATTTCGTGGTATGCCTATAGGAATGCCGGGACGGTCGGCCCCTGCTCAAAAGAGTGACCCTTCGCCGAAGGGTCGAGGAAGCGCAAACATGGACGACGCCAGCGTGGAGTAGCGACGGGTCCCGCTTCAACGAAGAATCGTCGCGCTTTTTCGCCAAACGAGGCGGCACTGGACTCCTGCTTCGGGAGGCACCTTCCCCGATCCGTTGGTCTGGCGTCCACGCGCCAGATCCACGGACCTCTGATCAATTGTAGCGTGCGCCCGAGAGTGACCGCTGCTGCGCGGCTTTTGGGGTGCGTGGGGGGTCCAAACCCGAGCGCGCAGGCTGCTGCTGTCGCATCGCGTGCAACGATCTGCATGGCGCGCAGCAGCGGTCACTGTTGCCTGGGGTCACTCTTGCGCATAGCCGGCTGCCTTGGATGAGAGGGACGGGGCTCACAGGAGCGCGATTTGAGACAGCAGCAGTTGGCCTTCGGGGGGCCCCCTCGTCGCCACGGCTGGACGCAGCCCGGGGAACTGGTGCGCATGGGCCCCGCGATGGAGTTTCTGGGGGCCGATGTTGTGCTGCCGTTGTTTGAAGCCGCCCTGCTCGGATGGATGGGGGGTGGTGGAGGAGGAGGGGGGAGGAGGAGGAGGATCAGTGTGAACCCCAGACGCATCAGCGAGGTTGCAATCAACCCTCCTCCAAGTCTACTTCTCATAGACCCTGCAAGAATTCATGTACACTGTGGAGCGTGCCCCATTCGACGACAACTGTCAGAGAATCGTCATCCGTGCCAAAACACCAGTCCTGGGAATTCGACGTCAACGCGAACCGACGCGACTGTTGGGTCCTGGCAACCCTAAACCGTGCCAGCACACCACTCGTGTGACTCAACCGTACAAGTCCTTGAAACGAATGCAACTTTTAAGACGAATGCGCGCGGCGCTACGGCGAGAGCCACATGTTGAAAACCACCAACCTCCATGCGTTGAAACGGTTGCAAGCTGTGTATGATGTTGACAGCCACCTCCCATCCAGCCCTGAAGCTGTTACAAGCTTCTAAGACGAAGGTGGTTTCAGGATTTTACATGGTGATAAAGTCTCAGGCGAACTGCCCAGGCCTCCCTACCGATACGTCTGGGGTTGCGACAGGGAGGAGTTGTGTACAATGAAGTGGGGAAGGAGGATAACAGGAGGATGGAGCAGGAGGATAGGGAGTAGATTATACCGAAGGGGGAGGAGAAGGAGGAGGAGGAGGAGGAGGAAAAGGATGAGGAAGATAGTCAAGATGGCCAGGTCGAACGAGTCAGCGGGCCCTGCCTACTCCCAACGCCCCCTCCAGAACATGAGTCTCCAATTCTGGCATACCTGAATGCCCACCAGGCGAACGGAAAACGCTCGCGCACGGCTCCGATCTGGACGATCTGACGGAGGGGCAGTCACGCGGGCCGCGCAGAGGCAAGATCGGACGTTCAGGAAGTCCTTTCGCGGCGCCGCGGCGGGATCGTAGTTCATTCGTCTCTCAGGCGGCCAAGTTTTCGCTGAGAACGGCGTGAGCAAATCATGCTCCGTGCCTACACAGTGCTGCCCTTTTCACGCGCAAGGTGCGCGGAGCTGCGGCGAGCATCGTGTTCTGCCTGCTCGCGCGCGGCCCACGCTGCCGCTGCCGCTTCCGTGAGCCCTGGCGAGCGCCACGTGCTCTGCACACCCGCGCGAGAGCACGACCTCCGGGCGGGATGTGCACGGGACTCCGGCGGGGGGGCGGCACGTCGACCGCTCGCGCAGCGCTCCGAGACGGGGCGGGTGACGAGTCTGCGCCTCGCCCGGGCGGGAGCGCCGGGTCTGGGCGGAAATCTGCGCGGCGCCTCGGCGAGCACGGCCTCCTCGCCCGCCCGCGCCTCGACGCAGTCGCACGCGGAGAGGTGTGCGCCGCGACCACGCGGGAAGAACATTTTTTGGGGAGGAGCGCGCGCGGCGCCGAGGCGGATGCTTCACTTTGCCGCGTCGCGCGCGAGGTGCGCCGCGTCCAACTCCCGCCACGCATTCTGCAGCGCCGGCGCCAAAGCGTCCACGGTGAAAAGAGCAGTCAGGAGGGGAAAAAACACACAGACACAATTAATCGTCGATCCCCCCCCCCAAAAAAAAGGGAAAAGATGGGAAGTGGGGGGGAGGACAAAAACCCAGAACATATGGGGAAAGATGGGGAATCTTTTTACTTGTGTGTATTTATTTGTGTGTCCTGGGGCCCCTTCATACCTGTCTCCTTCCTGCAGGCTCGCCGTCCCTGGGGGACTGCGAACTGAGACAGTGTCGTCACGCTCGAGGGCTGCTGTGGGGGTTCCAACGGTGTGACGCGCTGCGCATGTTCAGCGTCGACCTCGCCTGTCTTGGGCTGCGAGCTGCAAACTTGTCGCCACATTCGATGGTTGCTGGAGGGTCTAGTCGGGTTACGCGTTACGCAGATCCAGATTGCGAAGGCCGTACGGTCGGTGCCGCCGACCCTGAAGGGAGACGACGACGACGCCGATGACGACGACGACGACGACGGCGGCGGCGACGGCAATGACGACGACGCTCACGTGGGCCAGACAGAGTCATCAGGGATGGTTCTTGGGGCCTCTTCGGAAGTCTCTCGGGGGCCTCTGGGGAGGAATTTTTGGGCCTCGTGGGAGCCTCTTGGGGGCCTTTTGGCAGCCTCTTGGGGGCCTCTTCGGGCTTCCTGGGGACCTCGTGTGGGCCTCTTGGGGGTTCTTGGGAACCTCTTGGGACCTCCTGGGAGCCTCTAGGGGCCGATGGCTCGAAATGTCCGTTCGGGTCTCCCGTCTGGGCACGCTCTTGGAGCCGTCTTGGAGGCCTCTTGCGCCGTCTTGGAGGCGTTCTGGGCTGTCTTGGGGTCCTCTTGGGCTGTTTTGAGGCCCTCTTGGAGGCCTCTTGAGGCAATCTTGAGGGCCTCTTGCGCCGTTTTGGAGTGGCGGGAAGTTGAAAAGGCGAGAACGCCCTACCTTTAAAATCCAAAGGGAGTCAATGAATTTGGCCTCTTGGGGCCCTCTTGGGAGTGTTCTTGGAGGCGTCTTGGGGCGTCCTGGAGGCCTCCTGGGCAGTCTGGAGGGCGTGAAGGCGTTTTGGACAAATTGTTGGGTGAGTGGGGACCATCTTGGACCGTCTCGGCGGCCTCTTGGGAAACTCGTGTCCTGTCGTGGTGCTTTCTGAGGCCCCGGGCCCTCCCGGGGGGGATGTCTATCTGATCCCCCTCGCCCTGGGGGCCCTCCCTCGGGACCCCACCCCCCCCGACGGGGGAGGGATCAGAGGGAAGAGGCGTCCTGTTCGACTCGATTGCGGCATTGCTGGATTTTTCTCTCGCTGACAAGCTTGAGGAGGATCGCCGCGTGGCAGGCACTGGGGGGCCGCCCGCGGAATGAAACGGCCGCGCCGGGCGGCCCGGCCAGTCGCGGGGCGCCGACTGGGCATGCCTCGTGAAGCCGTGCGGGAGGAAGGGATGAAGGAGGGTGCAGGGAAAGGGGACGACGGAGACGACGACTGACGAAGACGACGACTCGAACAGACAAGCTCCTCGCTCACGCTGGCAGGGTCGGCAAACTTGACTTCGCCATCATCGAGGGCTGCGAACTGCGAGACTGCTGTCACTTTCGATGGCTGATGGGGGGCATAGCAGAGTGACGTGCTACGCAGATTCAGATTCGACCTCGCCATACTTCTGGGTCGAGGGCTGCTGGGGGGCCCAACGGAGTGACGCGCTACGCAGGTTCAGAGTAGACATCGCAATCCCTACGTGGTTGCGAACTGCGAACTGCTGATGACTGCTGGGGTCCAGAGGTGTGACGCGCTACGTATATTCAGAATAGACCTCGCCATTCTTGCGATGCGGACTGCGAAACTGTCGCCACATTCGATGGCTGCTGGGGGGTCGGGTCCAGCGGGGTGGCGCAGTACGCAGAGTCAGATTCGTTCTCGCTATCCCTGTGGGGGGGGCTGTGAACTCCGAAACTGTTTCCGCGTTAGTTGCTTGCTGGTGGGTCCAACTGAGCGACGCGCAACGCATATTCAGATTAGACCTCGCCATCCGTGGGGGATGCGAACAGCGACAGGGTCGCCACTTTCGTAGGCTGCCGTGGGTCCTGCGTGGCGACGCCCCACGCGGACTCAGATTAGCCTGGATGTCCTTTTCCCGCGGGCCGCCCGAAGACATGGCGGCCCGCATGCAGGTGTTTCGCTCCCGCAGTTCGAGATGCAGGAAGGAAACGCAGATCCCGGCGGGCGAGTTCGGCCACGCTCGCTTCCTGCACCAGCTCTGAACATTTGATCTTTTTTGGAGCACCAGGGCGACGTGGCACTGGCCGCGCTGCTTCTCCAACGTGCCAGTGGACACATGTCCGCCACCACCCTTCCTCATCCTGTCTGTTTTGCTGCCGTCCTCTTCCTCCTTCCGGCGTCTCCGTGCTGCTGTCGCGTTGAGGTATCGCCCTTTCTTCATCAGTGTCCTGCCCCTTGTTCCCACCTCGATTCTTCTTCCAGCCTGGGGCCTTAGTCCTCGTCCTTTGGTTGCGTCCCCGTGGGTCGTTCAATGCGCGCGCTTCCCAGTTAGCTCGAGCAACCGATGACGGAGCCCGTGTTATCATCAGCCATACGATTCTGCGCCATATTCTCTTGCTACGTAATGCGGATTGGGTGGTCCAGTCGCAGTTTCAAGTATTTTGACTTGTTGTTGACGTGCAAGGAGTAATTCTAACGGTGAGGAGAAGGAGAAGGAAGACATGTAAAAGGAGTGCGTATAGAAGGGGGGTTCGTCGTTTGGTCGGCTGCGAAGCTACATAGTGACCTCCCGCAGCGAAGATGGGAAGAAGTGCTTCGGACGCCTCTTATGCAGTGCCGACAACGTGTTCGTCTATCAAGTCAGCTGGGGAGCGGCTTTGTCTGGCGAAGTCAGCCAACGCTCGCGTGTACTGCGGCGTGCCCGCGTCTAGTAATACTGTCGTTCCCCAGTTTCCATAGGTTTGATTGATTTCTTACCCCCCCCGCCGTGCAGGAACCCCCTGCCACTCATCCTCTCTCTCCATATTCCGTGTACACTCGCCATCACTGATACGATGCGTAAGCACACGTCATGTCCCTCACATCATAGGGGGGTCTTCTTTTCCGTAGCCAAAGTGATGTTTCGTTCCCTCTGGACACCTTCCGCGGGAATGCACTCACCCAGCCGCAAGCATCTCTTCGACCTTCACCATCGCTATTCCTTTCCCATCATCATCACTCCCATAGCCATCGACTCGCCATTATCATGCACAGCTCTGCGCCTTGGACCAGGAGCCTCTTCTGTGAGTGAGTTACGATGATGTCTCGAGCGGGAGCCCCCTCTCGACGGGGCCCCGCTTCGCGTTACGAATCCCGCGTGGTCATCCAAGCTTTGTCACTGTCATCATGTTTGGGCTAGTGAGGCCTGAACTTGAAGGACGTCTCGAGCGGGAGCCTCGTCAGAGGGTGAGTTCCGAGGAAATCTCAAGCGGGAGCCCGCCCCAACTGGTTCCCCCATGTCATGTCAATCATCAGAGCCGGTCGTTCAGATCCTGCGTCTGTCGATGCCTGTTGGTTTTGAGGCTTGAACCTGGAGGCAGTCTCGATCGGCAGCGCCGTCTGTGAACGGACAAAGGGGACAGCTCAGGGGGGATCCCCTCCGAGGCGGTCAGAAAGTCCGGTAACATTCGTAACCGTTTGGCTCTTGAGGCCTGATCTACTTATTGTGTCTGTTGCTCAGCCCTCTGGCCAGCCGTTGCTCGGCACGTTGTCGGCACGGTACCTGGCGGGGGCCCAGGTCAGAATTCGGGCTGTATTGCGCCCCATGCCCGGCTCGCGTGGCTCGAGCCCAGTGCTTCGCGGCCTTCTCGTCGCGCGCGGAATGCCAGCCTGACGATGCTGCTCCAGATGGCGCTCGTGGCGGCCGCGCTGACGGCGTTGTCGGGCGGCGCCACTGCCGCTGGCAGCACCCGCGCTAGGCTGGACATCGACCTGAGCAAGCCCCGGGTGCCGTTCGACCACACGTGGGAGGAGTGTATAGGCTCGGGCCACGCGTCATTGACGCTGCGGGCCGACTGGAGGGAGCACGTCGCGATGGCGCGGCGCGACCTGGGCATCAAGAGGGTCCGGTTCCACGGCATCCTGGACGACGACATGTCGACCAGCATGGGGCCCAGTGCCAGCTCATACGTCAACGTGGACAGTTGGGCAGACTTCATGCGCGAGCAGAACATGAGCGCGCTCGTCGAGCTCGGCTTCATGCCCCGCTGGCTCTCGCGAGGGCGCGCTGGCTTAGGCGGCTTCCAGTGCGAGCACGTTCTCAACCACTACGCCGCCTGCGTGGACCCTCCCAGCAACTTCACTCAGTGGGGCGAGGTGGTGGGATCTCTCGTAGCACACCTTGTGGAGCGCTATGGCCTTGAAAGCGTCGCAGACCGCTGGGTGTTCGAGGTGTGGAACGAGCCGAACCTCAATGGGCAAGCCGATCCATTGGTTCCGCCGCCAAGTACGTTCGCTGGGGGCGGTGATTGGTGGGGCACCGGGATGGAATATTTCGAGCTTTACGCCCACGCCGCCAGAGCATTAAAGACCGTGAGTCCGCGTTTGAAGGTGGGTGGCCCCGTCACCACGGGCGGCGCCGTTTGGGTGAAGCAGTTCAGGGAGTTCTGCCGCAACAACTCTGTACCGATCGACTTCATATCCACTCACGCCTATCCAGGCGGTGATACCGAGATCAACTCTGTGGCGTCCACCGTGAGGCAGCTCGCGGCCTCGAAGGCGGCCGCTGGGAACCTCCCGCACTTCGTCTCGGAGTGGGGCGGCTCGTGGCAGCATGGCCCAGTGGGCCCAGAGGGCCCTGGCAACGCGACCACTGGGCGGTGCCACGACGACTATTCTGCCGCCTCCTTTGTCGTCGCCCTTGTGGACAAAGCGCAGGGACTCGCGGACTTGCTGTCGTACTGGTGCATCAGCGACGTCTTCGAGGAGTCGGGCTTCCCGGTGGCCAACAGCTCTTTCTTCGGCGGCTTCGGCGTCGTCAATATATACGGGGTACCAAAGCCTGCATACAGGGCGTTCCAGATCCTGCACGAGGCAGGCTCGCAGCGCTTCCACACCGCCTTCTCGGGGGACGCCTCCTGCGTTGCCACCCTCGGCGCTGTCGCGACGGCCCCGACCGAGGGGCAGCTGCACCTGATCCTGTACAGCCAGGCGCCGTCGGGCGAGCCGATCGAGCCCATGTGCGAGCTGGAGGTGGTGGTCCACGGCGCGCTCCGCGCCGCAGGGGAGGGCACGCTGCGGCGCATCGACGGGGAGCACGCGAACCCCATGCAGCGGTGGATCGACCTCGGCATGCCGCAGTACCCCACGAGCGAGGAGAACGCGGACATCCTCGCGGCCTCCGCGCTGGCGCCCGAGCCGCTGCGGGTGCGGCCCACCGACGGCGGGCTCTCCTTCGCCGTGTCGCTGCCCGCCCAGGGCGTCGCGGCTGTGCAGCTGCGGCTGCTGCCGGCCGGCGTCTTCGTGTGACGCCGAGAGGGAAACAGAGGCAGGGAGAAAGAGAGAGAGAGAGAGATAAGCGGGGGAGAGAGAGAGAGAGGGACAGAGATGGAGAGAAACAGAGAGAGAGAGGGACAAAAAAAGACAAAGAAAGAGGGGGCAGGAGAGGGAGATTCAGGGAGAGAGAGAGAGAGAGAGCAGCCTGCTGCCTCCCTCCCATCTTTCCATCCCTCCCCACCCGTCCTCGTTACACTCAGTTTCCGTCGCTCCCGAGGCACACAAATGTGTCCCCCGCCTCGTTTCGGGGGGACCCCTCCCATGCTTGCCCCCAGGTGTCTGCCATGCTGTGGCTTGGGACGGCTTGGCAGCGTCAACGAAGGTCCAAACTCACGCTCCTCCTCCTCCCTTTCCTCCTCCTCCCTTTCCTCCTCCTCCTCCTCTGCAGCGTCGCACTTAATTTGTTACGTGGGCGCGCAGGGATAACGACAGTGTCCCTGGCGCTGGCGTTTCTTTCATGAGTCGTTTTCTAACGGTCCTGGGGCTGGGGTGCGGCGCCTGGAGGCTGAAAGCGTTGAAAACCGGCCGTCGCGATTTCTGCGAGCGACGCGCAGGTGCGAGGATCTCGCGCTCAGACTTGGTCCTGGGAACTTCTCGGTGTGCATCCTACGCAAGTGTTTCATCCTGGATGGCTTCTCTTCGTCGCGGAATGATTTTTCTTGCAGGGTCCGAAAATGGAGCTTGGAGCTTGAGATCGCAGGATAACGCTAGGATTGAGCAAATCAATGTTTATATTTCGGGTGTCTCACCATCCCGAGGACCGACGTGCATACGGGAAGAGCGGGGACGAATTCTGGCAGCAGTTCCTGCTCACTCGTGAGCAGAACTCGCTGTCGGTGAGTGGCACCGTGGGCAATGCCCACATGGGGAGGAGACGCCAGTCCAACAGTGGCCTCTGTCGGTTTGGTGCAACCTGTTCCTTCCCCATCTTGGGCGTGCCGAGGGGTCGCATGGTCTCTGTCCTCTCAAAAGCAAGGTGGAGCAGGAGGAGGAGGAGGAGGAGGAGGAGGAGGAGGTGGAGGAGAAGGAGGAGGAAGAGGAAGAGGTAGAGGAGAAGGAACGAGGAGGAGGGGGGAGGACGACGGGGGGGAGGGGGTAGGTGGGTAGGTGTGCTCCCATTGAGCTGGCGTGCGGAAGCTTCGAACGAAAATTCTTCTTCGCCAGGGGCCACGGCCCTGGGGAGGGTTGGGAAGCGACCTTGCTGCGACAGCTCTGGAAGCCCCGCCGCCAGCGCTGGAGGGGAAGGAAGGGCGGGCTTGCAGAGCCGAGCGCTTCTGGAGGGCAGTGCGGATTTTGTGCATCGGCGCTGGGGCCCCTCACCTGGCGCGCGAGGCGCAAAGGGCGCCACCAGGGGGCCCAGCTCCACTCCAGGACCAACCCGCTCGAACTTCACGAACAGTCGGCTCCTCGAGGCCCCGGCCAGAGCGAAGCAGGAGAGGCAACTCAGAGACTCCCCGCGGTGTGTGTGTGTGGGGGGGGCAGGCAGGGAACACCTGCCTGGGGCTCGTCCGATCCCCACTGCGCTGCCTGGTCGACGTAAGGTCGGGGCGCTGAAGAAGGAACCCTTCTCGTTTGGGAGGGGCTCCGTGCTCCTTGGAAGTTTTTTTTTCTGTTTGCCTTCGGTTCACCTACGATTTTCGATCGGGAATCGAAGGTTGACTTATAGAAAACAGGGGCATCGTTGCCTATAGAGGGTTCCTTCGGTCAACGCCCCCACTGTACCCCCCGCAGGTGCGGGACGGTGACGGAACGAGGGGGAGGAAGCCACCCCCGAGGGGAGGCCCAGCCCAGCCCGACCCGACCCGACCACCCGGATCGCCGGGCGGAGAGGGGGAGGGAGGGAGGGGAGGGGAGGTGAGCGGGGGATTGTTTCTGCCGGCGGCCGCCCAGAAGCGATGCACGCCTCCTCCTCTCCACGCGGAGCGCTGGCATCGCCGCCTCGTTGTGTTCGGTTGTCCGCCGGAGCTGTTGGCAGCATCGCCGTGGCCGCCGCCTCCCTGGAGGACGGAACCGTGGCGCCGCGGACCTCCCAGAAGGTACGCCTGTAGCCCTCTGTCTCTGTGAGGCTGCAGGTCCCAATAGCATGAAACGCAGGATTCAGTACCTGCTCCCCACAGAGCTCAGGAGGGGACAAAAACAGACAGACACCATTACTCGTCGATTTCCCAGAAAATATGGGAAAATATGGGAAGTGGGGGGGAAGACAGAAATCCAGAACATATAGGAAAATATGGGGAATCTGTTTATTTGTGTGTCCTGGGGCCCTTTCACTGCCTCCGCGCTGAAGACAAAAAACCGGAGGAGTGACTGAGCGCGACCGGCCCCCCACGAAGCCTGCTCCGCAAGCTTTGGCACGGTGAGACGTCGAAGGGGAGCCCCTGCTTGATGGCTCTGGCGAGATCCGGCCGGGGGAGTGGGCCGAGATCGAGGGCCGGAAGCGGGATGGGAGGAGAAGGAGAAGGAGGAGGAAGAGGAGGAAGAGGAGGAGGATGAGGAGGAGGAGGAGGAGAGGGAGGGAAGAGGAGAGAGGCGGAGGAGGGATCAGGGCGGAGTAGGAGAGGGAGGAGGAGGCGGAGGAGGAGGAGGAGGAGAAGGAGGAGGAGGAGGATGAGGAGGAGGAGAAGGAGGGAGGAGGAGGAGGAGAGCGAGAGAGATAATAGAGCAAGGAGGAGGAGGGGATGGGGGAGAGGAAGGAATGGAGGGCGGCGGAGGAGCTGGGGGAGGAGGAGGAGAGGGAGGAGGATGGAGAGAGGAAGTAGACGATGCGTCTCTTCAAAGCGCGGGTGCAAGCCCTCGGCCTCGCCGAACCTCCGAAGAGGACACCTGCTCGCTGCTGCGCGGCGAGCTGCGCGGGGAGGCGGAGTCGTCCGCGGCCGTGGCCCAGGGAGTGGGGGGGGGGAGAGCAGGGTGGGAGGACTGATTCCTGATTCCTGATTCGTGACGGCCCGAGGAATCGTCCAACGCGGTCTCCCCCCCCAAAGGGCCGGTCGTTCCTTGGGGGGTTGATCAAGCCACACTGCCAGCTCACTTGTGTGACCGGCTGTGGCGACGAGTTGCTGGTGGGAGGAGTCCTCCTCCTCATCTCATCACTCTCCTCGTCGCATCCGTTTGCGGCTGGCGTTGGGAAGACACGCGTGCGATGTGGCGCCGCGGCCCGCTTGTCGCAAGCTGTCCGGACAGCGTGCGCCGAAGAAGCCCTGGCAGAGGGCAGAGGGATAGCATGCACAGAGAGGACCCTCGCAGGGGGGATTGCCTCACAGGGATGCCGTGCTTTTCGGGGATCGTTGTTGTAAGCTGCAGCCGCATGCCCATCGTCTTGCCGCAGACTTTTAGGGAAAGCTCGAACTATACCCTCGACGATTTGTGCCTCTCTTCGTCTGCCTCTCTGGGGCCCTCCTCTGTTGCTATCTGGGCCGGGAGGTGAGGCAAGTCGGTGATCCGACGAACCCTTTCTGGGCACGCTCGACCCCGTCCTCCTCATCCAAGCTTGGATTCGCTGGATTTCGCCTTTGTCAGGTTTGCCTGGGGCCATCCGCCGACTGGAGTAGGGGCGCGGTCCTTCCCGAGTCTACGCACCTCCCACACCCCCCTCGTCCTCCTCCCAGCGAAAATGGGGTTGATTGAGGTGGGTGGGCATGATGCCGAATAACCCAGAAGCGGCATAAACGTACACTTCTGGAGGTCCGCGCGGATCTCTTGGGTCGGCGCTTCTGGCGGCGCCTCTGGCGCCGCCACTGGCGCGCCTCGCACGCTAGGGGCAGAGAGAGAGAGAGAGAGATCCAGCGCTGACCTAAGAATCCGCGCGACCCTCCGGTTATGCTGCTTTTTGCTCCCAGCCTTTCTGTGCTGTTGAGTCCTCCAGTTTTCTCCCCGCTGCGCCGCGCCTCCCGGTCCCTCCTCGCTCCCGGTCCCTCCTCCTCCGCCCTCCTCTCCCTGCTGCTGCTGCTGCTGCCGCGACCATGTTGGCACACCCCTCACTCGTGTCATGCCCCGCACGGAACTCGGCTGACGGCCCCAGTGGGTGCGTCTGCCTGGCGCCGCCGCGCCCACGTCGGCGCATCCCTCACGTGCTTTGCGCCTCGTGTGGAGCTCCGCTGCTAGTCCCGGCGGCTGCGTCCGCATGGCGCCGCCGCTTTGAGTTCGGCGCGCCCCTCGCACGTTTCGCGTCCCACAGAGAGCTCCACTGATGTCCCCAGTGGGGGTGCTCACATGGTGTCCCTGTGCCCATCTTGGCAGGCTCCTCGGGCAGATCGTACCCCGCAGGGAGCTCCACCTATGGCCCCTGTGGAGGTGTCCACATGGCGTTTCCGCTCCCGTTTCGGCACGGCCCTCGCGGATCACGCCCCATAGTGGGCGGCTCCACCTATGGCCCCAGTGGTGGTTCTCACATGGCGTCAACCTCCCTCGTCCCTCCTCCCTTTCTCCTCCCTCCTCCCTCCCCCCTCCCTCCCTCCCTCCTCCCTCCTCCCTCCTCCCTCCTCCATACTCGTTGTTTCATGAAATTCAGCCTCTCGTGTTTGCTTCCTGACTTCAGAACAATCAACCATATGCCTCGGAGGGAACCAGCCCCGGAGAAGAAGCAGTCAGGATCTCTGGAAACAGATGTTGGGTGGATTTCGATGCGGGGAATCATATGGACGGAGGTTCGAGGTGTTTGTTTCTTCTTGGGCCTCCTAGAAAGGCCTCCTGTGCCACCTTTGTATCCGCATCGACCTTCTTCTCAGCACGCATATACCTCGAGAGGTCTAGGGACAGACTTCTCGAGGGGGCAGGGGGATTACCTCCCAGCAGATCTGGGCGCAGAGAGCTGGTGCCGGCCGTCGCCCTCTGGAGGCCGTCCCCTGGCCCTGGCACACTCGAACCGCGAGTCAGGATGAAGCGTTGGCCCAGGGAAGGGTGATCAAAACGACGCGAAGATCGGGACAAAATCGGATCGGGATAACTCGAAATCTCTGGGAATCGGCGGGTTTGGAGAATGTATTGGGCGCCGCGGCCGCTCCAGAGCGTTCCTGAACGCTCTGAGAGCGCTCCGGAACGCTCTGGAACGATTTACCCCGATCCTAGCTTTGTTTTAGCGATCGAGACTCGAGGCATGTGGAGGCCCGCGTCACGAAGCACATGCGCCGTCGGCGGAGAGGGGGTGAGAACGCGACACGGCTGGTCTGTGCTGGCGCCGGAAACACACGTGAGCAACGCAGACAATCTGCCTTCGACTGCCCGGGCATTTGCGCGTGAGCTGCCCGCGTAAGGTCGCGCGCAATCGCCTTCGTTTCCGATGTAGTGTTCCGCGCTGGCGGCCAGCATGAGCCGCCGCGTGAGGTCGCTACGTCATCTGGCGTAAGCCCCGTTTCTCTTCGTCGTTCGTGTGGCCGCACGTCTGTGCCGCGCGTGGCACTCGCAGGGACTGTCATTACAACGGCGCTCCAGAACGTGTGGCCCACGCTCGGTCTCCGCGTGCTCCGTGTGAGCTCAGCTGCGTGTGTGCTCCCGGGCCCTTTCGCACGGCAGTCTGCACACAGTCTGCATCCCACGGGGCGGCAGATCCTGTGCCCGCCCGATCGCGATGGTGGTGACGGCCATGTCTCATGTCGCTGCAAAGGGGTGGCGCCCCCCTGGCCAGGGCGGCGAGGGGCGACGAGGGACGAGGGAGAGACGAGGAGGCAGGGAGCGGGGAAGCGGACGGAGGTAGGAGCGAGGATGCGTAGAGGGATTGTTGCTGTTCTTTTGTTTTTTTGTTTTTTTTTGGGGGGGGGCTGTCCGCACCAGGAGAGCCCTGTCGGCGCCAGGGTCCCCTGGTCGACCCGGGGGAGGGCCCCGCGCGTCGCCCCGACTCGAGAGGGGGTGCCGTCGATCCCCTGGGGGCCTGTCGGCCCCAGGGGGGTTCGTCTGGGCCTTTGTGGGCCCCGGAAGCGGCAGGGCTGTTGTTTCACCGTTTGGGTTCCGCAGTCCTGGCGGGGGCCCAGACCTTAGCGGGCCCTGGAAACGACAGGGCCGTTTTTTTACCGGTCCCGTTCTGCCCTTTTTTGGCCAGTCCTAGAGCCGTTTTTTGCCGTTTCCGGTCGCCGTTTTTTTGCCGTTTCCATTTTCAAGGGACGTTTTTTTGGGAAACGGTGGAAGACGGCTCTGCCGTTTCTGGGGCCCACAAAGCGCGTGGGTGACAGAAATCCCCTCGTCGTCTCAGCCCCTCCTCTGCTTCTCAATCCCCGATTCGGCCATGGACGGCGGGGGAGGGTTCCCGTTGGCAGCCGCGATGGTCCGCCAAGCGTGGGTAGGTGGGAGAGGCTGGGAGGGGAAGAGGGCGGAGGAGGGGGCACGGGAGGAGGCAGGAGGCGTAAGGCAGGATGGAATGCCTTTTTGGCCCCGCGGGGAATAACATCAGGAGGTCTTTGGTTTGGGTCCCCCCCTGTTTCTCTCAGCGGTAAATACAACTCGGCCCTCCTCCTCCTCCTCTTCCTCCTCCTCCTCCTCCTGGTCCTGCTCCTCCTCGTCCTCCTCCTGCTCGTGGTCGTTATGATCGTCGTCGACGTCGACGTCGTCGTCGTGGTCGTCGTCGACGTCGTCGTCATCGTCGTCGTCGCGACGGATATTATTTTCCCTCTATTGTTGGGCGGGCTGGGCAATGTTGGTCTACTAACCCGTTGTGGTCTACCCTGCCCGCGGGAGGACCTGTGTCGGCGTGGGAGTCGGCGTCGTCGTCCTCGTCGACGTCGGCGTCAGCGTCGGCCCTCTGTCCTTCCTGAGGCCTCCTTCTCCTCCAGCTCCTCCCTCTCCTCCTCCTCCTCCGCCTCCTCCTCCTCCTCCTCCTCCTCCTCCTCGCGTCCGCCTCCTCCACGCGCGGTCGGTCGCCAGAGGGAGCCGCGGAGAGCTGGCAGGGGTCCCGCTGCGGTCGGCTGGCGTCGAGTGGGGGCGAGTTGTCCCTCGAGGGCATCCCAGAAGGGGTGCGAGGACCAGGGTGGGGGGGGGATATCATCGCCAGGGCCATTACAGTCATCGGCCTGACCTAAGGAACGATAAATAAGGAACGAAGCCCCTTTTTATCCCAAGGAATAACGCATAATGAACGATAAATAATAGATAACGCATAAGGAACTGTAAATAACGCATGTAAAACCTAAGGAACGACCGAGCCCCTTTTGAAAAGTAAGTGTTCCTTATTCAAGCCGCTCACTGTACAGTCGGACCGAGGTATAAGATCGAGGGCGGTTCGGGGAGGGCAGCCCGGTGTTCTTCGTATGTGTTGGGTGCTCTCGTGCGTCCTGGGGAGGGTGCCCTCGGACGTTTTGCTTGGTGTGGCCGACGGAGGGTCTCATGCTCTTGAAGGAGGTTCCTCTTGCCTATAGGTCCAACGGTCAACCAGTGGAGGACAACGTACCTATACCGCTACCAGTCCCTCGTTTTCGCCGTCTTGCCCCCCCCCCGGAAGGCCCTCGTCGCCACCGCCGGATTCGGATCGAAGTTCTGGTCAGAACGCACCCCGGGAGAGGTCCTGATTCAGGAGCGACAGACCAGCGTACAGTTACGTGCATGAGCCAAAACCTGGATTTCGAGAGCACGCGCTGCGCCAGCGTTCGTAACACGAGGCTGACCTCGCGACTGGGGGGGGGCGTGTTCATGTGCGCGGCTGGGCGCGTACGTCCTTTTTTGGGGCTCCCTACCTTGGGTTTCTCAATAAGCGTGGGGGGGTACCCCCCGACGGGGGTCAACCTCGCCTCGTCGTCGCGCCGCGACAGGGGTCGGAGCACCTTCGGCGCGCGGTGGCTGCCCGCGACGGAGGTCGATGTGGGGCTGTCTGCGGGGGTGGCGCCCCCCTGACGCTTGTTGAGAAACTCGGAGTAGGGATATCACCGACCGGCCAAGGATCGCTCATCTCCCAGATTCCGTGCCCCCCCTCTTCGGGGCTCATTTCGACTCCTCCGATTCGGTTCGATTCGACTTCGATGGCCTCCGATTCCGATTCGATTCGACTTCGGATTCCGATTCGAACTCCGATCATTTCATGCAGGCCAAGTAGCTTCCCAGGTTCCGCGGATTCGACGTCTCCCGACTTCGCCGCCGAATTCAGCCGATCCGATTCATTTCGATCGCCGATCCGATTTCTCGATTCGATTCTGGGCTCTTCTGGCCTCTTCCTGGCCCCCCTCTTCGGCTCCTCCTCCTCCTCCTCCTCCTCCTCCTCCTCCTCCTCCTCCTCCTCCGCTTCCTTCTCCTCCTCCTCTCCTCCCCCTCCTCCTCCTCCTGCCCTCCTCCCCTCCCTCCTCCTCCTCCTCCCTCCTCCTCCTCGCCTCCTCCTCCTCCTCCTCCCCCTCCTCCATCTCCTCCCCCTCCTCCTCCTCCTCCTCCTCCTCCTCCTTCTCCTCCTCTCCTCCTCCTCCTCCTCCCTCCGCCTCCATCTCCCTCCTCCTCCATCTCCTTCCCTCCTCCTCCTCCTCCTCCTCTCCCCCTCTCCTCCTCCTCCTCCTCCTCCTCCTCCTCCTCCTCCTCCTCCTCTTATCCTCCTCCTCCTCCTCCTCCTCCTCCTCCCCCTTATCCTCCTCCTCCTCCTCCCTTCCTCCCTCTCCTTCAGCCTCCTCCTCCTCCATCTCCTCCTCCTCTCCTATCTCCTCCTCCCCTCCTCCTCCTCCTCCTCCCCTCCTCCTCCTCTCCTCCTCCTCCTCCTCCTCCTCCCCTCCTCCCTCCTCACTCCTCCTCCTCTCCTCCTCCTCCTCCTCCTCCTCCTCCTCCTCCCCCTCCTCCATCTCCTCCTCCTCCTCCCCCTCCTCCCCTTCCGCCTCCTCCTCCTCCTCCTGCACCAGAGTCCTGGCGGGGCGGCGGGTTCAGGAGCCTACGGCGCCCCGGCGGACGACATGGGTTTCCTGCCGCCCGCGTCGGACCTCCTGTTCACCGCCCAGTACTCCGAGGTCCAGGTCAGGGGCAGGAGAGGGGAGGAGGAGGTGGAGGAGGAGGGGAGAGGAGGAGGAGGAGAGGAGAGAGGAGGAGATAGAGGAGGAGGAGCAGGAGGAGGAGGAGAGAAGGAGGAAAGGGGAGGAGAGGAGGAGGAGGGAGGAGGGGAGGGAGGGAGGAGGAGGAGAGGAGGAGGAGGAGGAGGAGAGGAGAGTAGGAAGAGAGTAGGAGAGGAGGGGATGAGGAGGAGGAGGGTAGAGGAGGAGGAGGAGGAGGAGGAGGAGGGGAGGAGGAGGAGGAGGAGGAGAGGGAGGAGGAGGAGGAGGAGGAGGAGGAGGAGAGGAGGAGAAGGGGGAGGAGGGGACGGAGGAGGAGGGGAAGGAGGAGGAGGAGGGGAATGAGGAGGAGGAGGAGGAGGAAGAGGAGGAGGAGGAGGAGGAACAGAAGGATCGCCATAAAGCAGGAGAGGCGTCCTGAAGGAAGCGGGTCCTGTCGGCTTCTTGCCGATGTCGAGCTGCGGGGTCCTCCCTGTGCCCCGAGATCCTCGAATAGTGGACTGGGGGCGAAGAGTTGGTCCTGAGGAAGGTCCCCTTCGTCGAGGACCCGCTTCTTTCAGGACACCTCCCCCTCATAATAAATGGGGGAGGGGAGCACGGGGAGGTTACGTGTGCAAAGTCAGAGCCTGAATTTGGTCATCAACCTCGCCCTTCTCTTGGCGTGATCAACCGGAGAACTACCTTTCTCTCTGCTTCTGCTCCTCGGTGCGCCGCTCGCGCTCCCCTCCGGCTCTTATCCTTCGCCCCCCTTCTCTATCCTTAGCCGCTCCCTGCTCCAATTGTCCGTCATTCGCTTGGCTCCGAAGGTGGCCCTCGAGGCTTTGGCATCGGACCTCCCCTCCTCTCTTCTTCGCCCCCCCCCCTCCCTCCTGCGCGACTGTCCAGACCGTTACGCCTCCCGCTAAAAATTCGCGAGAGTCTGGGCCCCCCGCGACGAATTCGCGAGAGTCCCGCGAAAGATTTGCGGGAACCCTTCGCGCCGTGCGCTGTCCTCCCAGGCGCCCCCCGGGCTACCTCGCCCCCGTGGGACCCCCTTGGGCGATGCGCGAGAGTTGTTCCCGCGCGAGACCACCCCGGGCGACTCGTGCAGGCACTGAGTGGCGGAGACCCCCCCGGGCGATTCCACCGCTCGGACCGACCCCTCCCAGGGCGAGTCGGCCCGTCCTGGAACCCCCCCCAGGCGATCCAGGACCCCCCGCGCCCTCCCAGGCGAGCGGGGGCGCCTACGGGAAAAGCCCACGCCTAAGCCTTGGCGGGGGCGATCCGCGACGGGGCGGCAGTCGAACCCTCCTGGGCGATCGACCGCGGCAGATTCCTCCCGCACAAAAAAATACAAAAAACACAAACCAACACACAACAAACACACACAAAAACAAAAACACGAAACAAACACCGGACGGAACATAAAACAAACACCAAAAAACACAAAAACCACACACACACACACACGCACACACACACACACACACAACACACACAACACACACAACACACACAACACACACAACACACACAACACACACACAACACACACAACACACACAACACACACAACACACACAACACACAACACACAACACACACCACACAACACACAATACACAACACACAACACACAACACACAACACACAACACACAACACACAACACACAACACACAACACACAACACACAACACACAACACAACACACAACACACAACACACAACACACAACACACAACACACAACACACAACACACAACACACAACACAACACACAACACACAACACACAACACACAACACACAACACACAACACACAACACACAACACACAACACACAACACACAACACACAACACACAACACACAACACACAACACACAACACACAACACACAACACACAACACACAACACACAGCACACAACACACAACGCACAACACACAACACACAACACACAACACACAACACACAACACACAACACACAACACACACACACGCAACAATGACTAAATTATGGTTCTGACTTTGTACACCTAAGGGAGGGCATGGGGAGGTTGAAGAGGACGAGGAGGCACCCTTCTCTCCCTCCTCAGGCCCTCCCCTCCTCAGCTGGGGTGCTTAGAGCTTGCCGTTCATTGACGGAAGGGTCAAGCCGTCACTGCAACCGACGACCCTCCTTCGCTTCTTCTTCCTCCCCTCATCTTCGCCCTCGGCCCTTGCCCCCTCACCCGCGGCGCGGCCGCGTGGCTTGCACCCAGGCCGTTCCTGGCCTTCGTGTCGACCTGCCTGGAGGCGCACACCCACTCCGTGCCGGTCACGGCGCGGGGCCCGAGGGATGGGGGGGAGGGAGTGGGCGGGGCCCGACGCCCTCGGCGCCGGCTCGCCGAACTCGGCGGCTCGGAGGTGGGCGGGGGAGTAGGAGTGGTAGGAGTGGTAGGAGGACGGGGTAGGAGGGGTACGAGGGGGTAGGGGGGGCGGTAGGAGGGGTAGGAGGAGGGGGTAGGAGGGGCAGGAGGAGGAGGAGGAGGAGGATGAGGAGGAGGAGGAGGGAGGAGGAGGAGGAGGGGGAGGAGGAGGGGGAGGAGGAGGGGGAGGAGGAGGAGGAGGAGGAGGAGGAGGAGGAAGGATGAGGTGGAGAAGGAGGTGCAGGAAAAGGAGGACGAGGATGAGGAGGAAGAGGAGGAGGAGGAGGAGGGAGAGGTAGAAGGGGTAGGAGGGGCAGGAGGGGCAGGAGGGGTAGGGGGAGGGGTAGGAGGGGTGGGGGTAGGGGTAGGAGGGTAGGAGGGGGCAGGAGGGGTGTGAGGGGTAGGAGAACGGCCACGACGGAGAGGAGAGGGAGATGTGTGGGGAAGAGGAGGGCGATGGGAGTGGATGCTGCTCTTAGTTATCCACCTCGTTGCACTACGAAGGCATAACGAGTATGATCGCAGCTGGGCGCAAGCATGGACAAATTGCAGTCGGAGGCCTGTAGTCTTCTCTCGCGCACAGCTCGAGAACGAGAGGTGGTGGGTTCACCCAGGGGGCTCGAGCAGGAGGGGGTTGCAAAAGGATGGAAAGAGGGTAAGGAGAGGGAAGGGGCAGCCAGGTGCGCCCGCGCCATGTCTGACGTCCTGCTCCTCCCTCCCATCCCGTCCCGTTGCGTTGACTCCCTCTCGTCTGTTGGTCAAGGCTGGGGTTCCCAGGAATGGGGATCCACCGATTGGAAAGGATCCAAGGGTGGATGTGCGTTGTTTGAGACACCTCGTTCTTAGGAGCCCATCCCTGAGAACCCCATCGTCGAGCTGAAAGAACCACCTTCTCAGCCACGAGGGCTACAGGCAGAACTACGCAGAACTACGGGGACTACCAGTGGAGCTTTGGCGACAAAACGCACGACTTCGACGACCAGCAGCAGAGCCACGAGGGCAACAAGCGGAGATCCCAAACCACCAGCAGGCTACGAGGGCCGCCCGCCGCACTACGAGGACGAGCTGCCAGCCGCACTGCGAGAGCCACCGGCACCAGCCTCCCTGCCACCTGGCTGGAACAGCAGCCCCGACCAGCAGGGGCGACGCTACTACCTCAGAGCCCCGAATCATCAGGGGTAACTCGGGTCAGGGCTAACTCGGGTTCGTTTTTCGGAAATCCGAACCCGACTTACCCTGGACCCGAGTTACCCCGGATAATTCGGGCGTCCAGAGCCCCACATCATCATGGGTAACTCGGGTCAGGGCTAACTCGGGTTCCTTTTTTCGGGAATCCAAACCCGAGTTACCCCGGACCCGAGTTCCCCCGGATAACTCGGGCGCCCAACTGCCACAACGCGACCCTGGACATGACGACGTGGACGCCGGCGTGCACCAGGCTCGCCGATACGCCCCCTGTCGTAGCTGCCTGCAGAAATCGCCGCACCACGGAGGCACAGAGGAGGAACGCGTCGGCGAGAGCGACGAGGAGGGTGACGACGTGCATGGCGAGCATGAGGAGAGCGACGAGCAGAGCGAAACCTGAACAGACTACGAGGGCCAGTTGCTGAGCTACGAGGGCCGCAGACTGAACTACATGTGCAACAGGCAGACCTTCGAAGGCAACCAGCTAAGCTACGAGAATCGACAACAGACAGAGCTTCGTGGGCCACCGGCTGAGTCGCCCGCGCCAACAGCAGAGCCACGAGGGTCCCCGGCAGAGCTCCCAGTGCCACCAGCAGAGCCCCGAGGGCCACCAGTAGAGCCACGAGGGCCACCTGCCAGGCTACGGGGACCACGAGCTAAGTTACTCTGACACCGAGCGGAGCTTCGAGGGCCACCAGCTGACTGAGCCACCTGGGCCCCAGAATTGCGAGAACCACCCCTCTGCTCCTCGAGGGCTGCCGGGAAAAACACCGAGGGATGGTAGATACCAGCAGAGCGCCGAGGGCCACCAGGTGAACTACCAGTGCCACGCGCCGCTCCACGAGAACCACCACCAGAACAACCAGGGCCACCTGCTGAGCTACAGGGGCCACCAGTGGAGCTACGAGGACCACGGGCTGAGCGACTTGGGCCGCCAGCTGAGCTACGAGGGCAGACAACTGAGCTAGGAAGGAACACCGCTCAGCTACGAGGGCTACCTCGGCCACCAGCTGAGCCACCAGGGACAGCAGCCGAGCTACGAGAGCCATCGTTAGAGCCACGACGCCCACTGCAGATCTACCAGGGCTACCAACTGAACTACGAGGGCTAGAAGCTTAGCTACTTCGGCCACCAGCTGAATTTCGAGGACCACCAGCGGAGTTGCGAGGCCTACCAGCAGAGCTCCGAAGGCTACCTTAGCTACGAGGGCAACCAGCAGAGCTACGACGGCCACCAGAAGAACCTCTACTAGGCGATCTACGCACTGATTCGGAGGCCGCGGCATTCAGAGGGATCGCAGCCACATGCTGGGACAAATGGGACAAAGGACTCTGGCCGCGGATCCTCACCAAAGAGGCCGTCCACGAGGCGGGCCGTATTTATTACGACGGGTACAAAACACATCGTCACTGCGTTCCGCCGTATGAGAGGCCAGCTCACGACCCTAAAGGAGCTACCGCCTGATCTTCGTGTGACACCTCATGGTGATGGCGCGGCTGGCCATCACAATCGGCGCGACAGGTTTGCTTGACGCCAACAGATTACGGACCAGGCCCACCGCCCAGGCCAACGCGAGCTGCGGCGGCCACCCCGCCCGCAATGACTACAGCTTGACAGCCCAATGGTCGTGACCGCTACGGATCAGTACTCCAGTGCACCACACTTTTTTATTGTTGGAGCACCCGGCGAATTCTACTGCAATGCAGTTGCTGACCGCGCTGCTCTTAACAGTGCGGCCGGTACGCCGATACTTCCATGTACTGGTTGCGGGGCGCCGTGACTCGCATCGCATGTGCGACGTCACGGGCTCGATTCAGCCACGCGCAAAGGGAGGGGGGTGGGGGGAGGGGGGGGGGCTTCTTAGAAACACCCCTGTTTCTTAGAAGGCGCTGGCCTTATCTGTAGATGAAAGGCCGGCGCCTTCTAAGGAGCAGCCTCCTAAAAAGCCCCCTCCTTCCACCACTTTGTGCGCGCCGCCAATCGATGCAAGCATCCGGACAGCAACAACATCACCCGAGCGGGCCAACCGCTCGCCCGTCCGTTTTTCTCCCCCTCCCTCTGTCCAGGTATGGCTGCACGGTTCCTCCCTCCCGCCTCCCCTGATGTGCTTCAGAAGTTTGATGGGGGGAAGGAGGATGAGGAGGAAGAGGACGAAGAGGAGGAGGAGGAGGAGGAGGAGGAGGAGGAGGAGGAGGAGGAGGAGGGAGGAGGAGGAGGAGGAGGAGGACCCCCTCCCCTCCAACTTATGGTGGTGGTGGTGGAAAACAGGCCCATCATCCCCCTTCGGAAATTCGGGCATGACCCACGGCGGCGTCCATGGGCTCCGCCGCCTCGTAGCCGGTGGGCTTTGCGGCGTGCGGCGGGCGCGGTGGCGGAAGGGAACGCTGCGAAGGGCGGCGAGAGAGAGAGAGAGAGGGAGGGAGAGGAAGAGAAGGAGGTGGAGAAGGAGGAAGGACAAAGAGGAGGAGGAGGAGGAGGAGGAGGAGGAGGAGGAGGAGGAGAAAGGACAAAAAAGACAGGGGGAGGAGGAGGAGGAGGAGGAGGAAGAGGAGAAGAAGGAACCGCGGCAATGATCTAAGGCTGGGGACCTCCTGCAGCACGAGTTCCTGGTGGGCTGTCCCATTGTCGTCCCTTCCTCCTCTTCCCTCCTCCCGTCTTGCTCATCCCTCGTCCTCCTCCTCCTCCTCCCTCCTCCTCCTCCTCCTCTTTTCCTTCCTCTCCCTCCTCCTGCCTCCTCTCCTCCTCTCCCTTCCTCCTCCTCCTCCTCCTCCTTCCGTAGCCATTCTGTCTCGAGAGCTACAGGGCCGCGCATCGCGGAGGGGCCCTTTCTCGTGTTTGGTTGCCCGCCGCGGTGCGGGAATGCAGGGCGTGGCGGCGCTTCGATGCTGGCGATCGCTCTTCTAGTTTTCGGTGTTCCTCACCTTCCAGTGTGACTCGCCGCTGCCTGCGGGATGCCTCGGTGCCGCTCCTGGGGAGCCGATGTCGCTCATGTATCGCCTCTGACGCTCAGGCCCGCGGTCGGGAACGGGACCTTGCGTACGGTCGGTTCGCGTCGTGTCGACTCGTGGCAACCCCGCCGCGGGTGTTCAACGTTGAATGTCGCCCGCGACCCAGAATCGGGCGATGTTGAACGATCCTGACGTTTCGGGAACGGCCGATCGTTCAAGGTTGAACGATCCCCGCGATGTCGGAACCAACGCCGGGGTCGACACGACGCGAACCTGTCGCTCCTCGCCTTGCATCGTGGCCCCAGCAGCTCGTTTGTGGAGGTGGGTTCTGCCGCTTTGGGGCGGCGTCGAGCGGAGCGCTCGTGGCAGAGGGCTCCACAGGATACTCCAAATCCTTTATTAATCGTCCCCTGGGTCTTGTTTTGAAGGTGCCTTTTTTGTAACTGGGGGGGTCCGGCTTATTAGGGAGCTTTCTTTGGATTGGAGCTTAAGGGGTCTGGTTTATTAAGGCGCCCCGTCGAAGCGAGGGGGCCGGAATATCAGGTCGCATTTGGAGGGGGTCTTGTTTTCTAGGGGGGGTCGATTAATGAGGGATTTGGAGTACACTGTGCTTTGGTGCTCGTTTTTTTATTCATTGTTTTGCCGATCGGGGCGGGCCCTCAAATACCTTCCTTCCCCCCTCTATGGAGTTGATCCTGGCTGTTTTTGTTGGCGCCTGTTTCGAGCGGGCAGAGTCTCCCCCCAGAGGCCGCGCCTTTGCAAACAGTCGCACTAAGCAGAGGTCCACAGCGAGACCCCCCCCCTCCTCCCCCCCTCCCCTTCCCGCCCCCCCCCAAAAAAAAGCAACGCTCACTTGCTCAAGTACGGAGTTCAAGCAGGCTCTGCACCTGGGAAGGGAGGTTCGCATCGTTTCTTCCGCCTGTCCGGTGCGAGGGCGCCAGGCGTGCGGCATGGGCAGGCTCAGGCGATGCCGATTATGGAGGTGTGGGCACCAGCGCCCTCTCTCATGAGAGGATCCAGCAGGCTTGGCATCGCTCGGACGTGTGCATTTTTTCCTCGGTGGGGGCCATCGAGGAGCATCCTTGGTCATTTGGCGAAAAAACCACGCACGAAACCGAAAAAAGCACAGGGAATGGACGTCCGAGCGATGGCGAGCAGGGCGGCGATCGTCCGCAGGAGGGTGACCCTCTCGGGGACACCCTGCCCACCGCAGCGGTTGCCACCCGACCGGAGCAGGTGGAGGGCGCTCCTTGCACACGGCGGGGGGGCCTTTGGGCCTCTGCACGTCTGCTGCGGCTGCCTCCTGAGGCTGGTGGCCAAGGCCCTCCGCCGCCCTGCCGGCTGGTGATGGGGCATCTCGAGCTGGTGTGACGGGCCTGCTTTTCCACCACCGCTTACCATAAGTATGTAGGAGGGGGGAGGGGGTCATCCTCCTCCTCCTCTTCGTCCTCCTCCTCCTCATCCTCCTTCTCCTTCCCCCCTCCGACTCATGGTGGTGGTGGTGGCGGCGGAAAACAGGCCCATCATGATGTGCGAACTGGTCTACCGTCCTATGCAATGCCTGGTGGTGTCAATCTGATGGCAGGCGGCAGCTGCCGTGACTCCGACCAGTCGGGGTGCGACAACTTCTCGTTGGTGTCCTTGTCCAACGCCGTGGGCCATGGACGGTGCGCAGCAGGCCAAGTTCTTTAAGTCGGACGTTGAGAAGGAGCTGACCCGTTACGAAGACCGTGAGCTGAGCGCGAAGGGACGGCCCACTTCGCCGGCGCGGATGCTCCGATTCCTGCCTTTCTCCTCGTCCTGGTGCTGTGCGTCCGGTGCGTGATGAGCGTGTCACCGTTGCGTCACCCACCGTGCAAGAGTTCTCTTGCGTGCGGGGGTCCTCCAGGTGGGCCCTTGGATTTCTACATACTCGCACGGCATGCTGATACCATACGCACTTTGCTTTCGGTGGCGACCGCATTTAGGAGGGCAAATTATCCTGGCGAAGGACCCAACCATGCGCAATTGTGAATAACGCTTTGTGGGTGCCGCTTTCGGTGGCGCTCCTTATGGGACCACGAAAGGCGTGCCACGAAACGCTGTCCTGGGCGTACGGGACGCATGAGGGCGGTAGCACTGGGGCCTTCGGTGGAGCTCCCTATGGGGCCACGAAACGTGTGAGGGGTGTGCCGAAATGGGTGCGGCGCCGCCATGCGAACGCAGCCACTGGGGCCTTCGGTGGAGCTCCCTATGGGGCCACGAAGCGTGTGCAGGGGTGTGCCGAAATGGGTGCGGCGCGCCGCCACGCCAAACGCAGCCACTGGGGCCTTCAGGTGGAGCTCCCTATGGGGCCACGAAACGTGTGAGGGGTGTTGCCGAAATGGGTGCGGCGCCGCATGCGAAACGCAGCCCACTGGGGGCTTTTTCTGGAGCCCATTATGGAGGCCGAGAAACGTGTGAGGGGTGATTGCCGAAACGAAATGGGTGCGGAGCGCCATTCGAGCGATCCGTGGGGCCTCGGATGGGCTCCCTAGTGGGGCACGAAACGTGGGAGGGTGTGTGCCGAAATGGGTGCGGCGCCGCCATGCTGGAGCGCAGGCCAATTGCTGGCCTTCGGTGAGCCACGAAACGTATGAGGGGTGTGCCGACATGGGTGCGGCGGGCGCATGGGAACGCAGCCACTGGGGCCTTCGCTGGAGCTCCCTATGGGGCCACGAAACGTGTGAGGGGTGTGCCGAAATGGGTGCGGCGCGCATGCGGAGCGCAGCCACTGGGGGCCTTCGCTGGAGCTCCCCATGGGGCCACGAAACGTGTGAGGGGTGTGCCGAAATGGGTGCGGTGGCCGCATGCGGGCGCAGCCACTGGGGCCTTCGGTGGAGCCACGAAACGTTGTGAGGGGTGTGCCGAAATGGGTGCGGCGCCGCCATGCGGAACGCAGCCACTGGGGCCTTCGGTGGAGCTCCCATGGGGCCACGAAACGTGTGAGGGGTGTGCCGAAATGGGTGCGGCGCCGCCATGCGAGCGCAGCCATTGGGGCCTTCGGTGGAGCTCCCTATGGGGCCACGAAACGTGTGAGGGGTGTGCCGAAATGGGTGCGGCGCCGCCATGCGAGCGCAGCCACTGGGGCCTTCGGTGGAGCTCCCTATGGGGCCACGAAACGCGTGAGGGGTGTGCCGTGATAGTGGGAGGAGGGAGGAGGGAGGGAGGGGGCAGCGGGAGGAAGGAAGGAAGGAAGGAGTGAACGCGGGGCGCTGTCTCTTCAAAACGAGGACCCAACACCACAGGATGGTTGGGAAAAACACAGACACAATTAATCGCCGATCCCTAGGAAACTATGGGAAAAGATGGGAAGTGGGGGGGAAGACAAAAACTCAGAAAACATGGGAAAATATGGGGAATCCTGTTATTTGTGTGTATTTATGCGTGTGTCCCAGGGCCCCTTCACGCATGGACTACCACCTAATCGAGTTCACAAACAATGCAGCTGCTGTTGAACACGTTCGCTGTACCTAACTCTGCAGAGAGTATGCCGATGCCCAGCCTTTGACCGCGTTGCTCTGGCATGCCCGGGCTGACGGCCGCACTGGGCCTGAATGTCATGCATTGCTAGGCCCAGCTGCTGAGTCAAATCTCCAAGCAGGAGATGTACGCGACGATCTCAAAGCTGGAGCTGACAGCGACGAGCTTCAAGCTCACGCTGTAGGCGACGATCTCCAATCCGGAGCTGTTTGCGGCGATCACCAGCCTGAAGCTGCACACGACGATCCGCATGCTGAAGTTGTTAGCGACGATTTCCAAACGGGAGTAGTACGCGTCGATCCCTCGGTTGAAGCTGTGCATGTCGATTGCTATGCTGAGGCTGTACGGGTCGATCTCCAATCGGGCGATCGCCAAGCTGAGCGTGACGATCTTTAATCGGAACATGTACGCGCCGATGTCCATGCTGAAGTTGTCCGTGCAGATCTCCAAGCCCGAGCTATTCTTGGCGATCTCCCACCCGAAGCTGTTTGTCACGAGGACGTTCCCAAGGCCGCATTTGATCGTGACGGTTCCATGATGAAGTTGTTTGCGACGATCATGGTAGGTGCACGTGACGATCTTACACCTGCAGCTCTTCCTGACGATCTCCCAGAAGCTATCCCTTGCGATCTCCACGCCGAATCTCTACGTGACGATCTACTGGCGTAGCTGTACGTGACGGTCTCCAAACTGACCCTGTACGTGACGATCTCCGAGCTGACGCTGTACGTGACGAACCCCTGTGCTGAAGCTGCTCGTGAAAGTCCCATAGCCGCGGCTTTCTGCGATGGCGGTCGAGTTACTACGGTAGTTCGTGTTTGTCTCCATTCCGATCACTAACGTACCGTTCTTCTTGAATATGATGTTCCTGCTGCTGGTGCCATTCTCTTACAACGCGAGGACCTTCCACAGCTTCGCTGGTGCAGCACGACCCATGGTGGCTTGGCTGCGCACTTCGCCAAGGATACCAAACAAGTCTAAGTCCATGAATGTTGGGGCTCGTTAGTGGTACGTGGCCAGCAAGACGAAGACCAAGAAACACACATTCCCCCAGAAGAGTACGCCTAGGTGCGCAGACACATGCCAGAAGGTTCCGGAGGATATTCGCAATGTTCGGCCTGGCTTCGTACCTCCAGAGTGCCGCACTGCTACCTCGACCT